TCATATTTTATACCTCTCTGCACTTGTTAATCATCGGGAATAAATTAGCTGTGTTACATAGGCATTGCTGTAATAAATGGTGAGTGTGTATTTGTGTTTAAGAGGGTTGACAGTACCAGGCAGAGCGTTCTGAGGGACAGATGGTCCAGACCCCTAATGCGGGAGATCTTGTTATGGGCCAGGCTGAGGTGTGAGAGCCTTTTGCACTTTTCCAGCCCCCTGATGGCACTAAATGAATTATCTGAACAGCAAGGCACAGTCAAAGAATGTTTCATACACTTGCTTTTAATAAATCAATAGTTTTGTCAACAGAAGTCAACCAAGTTACTTTTATTAGGCATCCTTGGCCAGGCCTTAGTGATATCGCTATTTATCAGTGCATGCTATTTAAAATTCTGGTAATTTTCTTTTCGACTGACGTCACCAGTCCCTATTTTTCATCCAGCTAGCTTCATTTTGGTATGTGACACCCACTTATCCTGCTTTAATCGATTCCCAAAAGCAATGGTGCGTTCCATTTGTCCCAGTAGGAACTTTTAACTGAAATACCCACTTAAGTCTGAATTGTGACTCAGAACCTCAGAGGAACCACAACAACCCAAGCATCAACTTAAGTGAACCAGTAGTAATATATGGTTAATTAACACGTTTGTCTGTGTCTCAATAAACCTGTTGGTATTATCCAGCTTTATCTGTGCACAATACTGCTTTTATATGTGTTTTTATCAACCAGTATTGCTAACAATGAAGGCGTCCATCTTGGTTTTCCGACTTGTGTACAGGAATGCAGTCAACTCGGGTGTGACGTCATTCCCATCCGACTTCTGAGTTAAATGGAACACAGAGACAGCCCTGCCCTATATTATTTTTACTCTGAATAGCCTATTTTACTTGGAAATACAATAATGAAGTAAAATTAATTGCGAAAGATGTGCTTTGTAATCTTCAAAAGGATACAGTCAAGAATCAGTTTGGTCAAAGAGGAATATGCAGACAGATCCTTCATTACTGACATCTGGTTATGTGAGAAATTGACCTCCTGCATTAAAAAAAGAAAAGGACAGTATATAAACATCAGTTAAAACCCAAAAACCTAAAAATGACAAGAAGAAAATTTTGAACCATTTAAATTACAATAACCCTCCTTAAATGAGGAAAAAATCTGTATTTAAGCAAAAAATTTAAAACATCTAACTTTAATTAACAGTAAAACATCTCTGAGACCCAGTGAAGTTACTCTTCATTCGCTCTTGCATAAGAAAGCTGAACCTCACATGACATCACATTATCCCCTCTGTAGTAAATTGAATCACCTTGAGATTTTTTGGTGGCTGGAATCCAAAGAAATCGGTGAGTTGGTTGTGGGAAGCATCCAGTATGATGAGGTGTGGCATGTGACTCACGCAGGATAGATCTACCAGTCACAAAAAATTAGGCGGAAAGAGCAAGAGAAAGATGGATGACAAGCATCCACACAGCTGAGATTATTTATCCCGCTACCAAGCAACCATGAAGGGCACGCATGAAAAACAAAATCCGGCAAACATTTTCAACAAGAGGATATTGGAGAAAATATCTACATTAGTGAAAGACAAATAGGAGGGGGTCCGGAACATGACAGCAAATTTCATTTCACCATATAGTTTTCTTGTAACACAAACATTAAACTGGTGTAAACCTACCTTTGATTTTATTGTAGGGAAGCTCGAGCTTTTGTAGATAGATGTAATTGCATAAAATGGAGACATTTTTCAAGTCTTGCCCCTGTGGCCAAACACAATCAGAAATTCAGTTAAGGTGCCAATAAAATGTCATCCGGTAAAACCCTGAAACTAGAGGAGAGTATATGACACATTAGAAAAAGGATGTAAACTAATTTGGAGGCCACTTTTGTCTCTCTCTCTCTCCAGCGAAGTCATGCAACTAAACAATATCAGTGGTTCCGGAAAAATATATTGATATTCTACCCTGGAGCTCTGTCGCATAAGCCTGGGAAATTTTATATGGAAAATATCAATTGTTGCCTAGTGATGTAACAGTCTCAGTGTGTGTGTGTGTGTGTGTGTGTGTGTGTGGATCACATTGTGGGGAGCAAATGTTCCCACAAGGCCAGTAAATCCACTCACATTGTGGGGACCAGCTGATAGAAATCAGCTTAATAAACATACTAAATAATGTCTTAACCCGTTAAACAGTCAAAACAGCTAGTGACTGTATGCGCTTTATGCCTATCAAAAAACTATCAATAACTTCTTAATTGTTCAATAAAAATCAAGAAAATATACATTCATATATATTTTTTTTATTATCAGGCATGTGAGAGGAAAAGGGGAATACAAAAAAATGCAATCTGTCATTTTATCATTTGAATTCAGCTACTATTCAAAATGTTGCTCTACCATTATCACAAATGTAATAATAGTATTACATCACTTTGATCCTCTGCAGTGAATGGGTGCCCTCAGAATGAGAGTCCAAACAGCTGATAAAAACATCACAATAATCCACAAGTAATCCACATGACTCCAGTCCATTAATAAACGGCTTGTGAAGTGAAAAGCTGCGTGTTTGAAATAAACAAATCCATTATTATCAGCTTTTTATCTGCGGTTTGGACTCTCATTCTGACGGCATCCATTCACTGCAGAGGATCCATTGGTTAGCAAGTGATGTAATGCTAAATTTCTCCAAATCTAAACAAATATTAAATCAATATAAAAACAATGCAAGCCAATGAAAATCCTACAATAACAAAAAAATCAATGTGTGTCTGGATCACTCACTTGCACAGAGAGGCATAGGTAAGTGTGCTGGAGTCCTGTAGCCGACTGTCCCAGGTTGGACAGGCATTTATACACCTGGTCCTCCGTTAATTCACCATCATTCTCCATTTCATGCAAAAGAACAAAGGAAATGTTGGCTACAATGAGTCAAGTGTCAAAGGAAACTATATCATAAATGAGTAAATAGTCATGTTTGAGTGCTGTTACCTCCATTGTTGTTGTGTGTATTGACTGTGCCTCTCTTCTGCTGCTGTCTCTATGGTCTCCAGTCTCCAGAGAGCAGCACTTATTGCTGGAGAAAAGGAGGAATTTGACATGTCCAGCTTAACACAAACGCCAAATATTAATTATTTGACTCCATTAATTACGATAATTTTTTACTCCATTTTTTTCCTAAATAGACGCTAGTAAAGGCGGACTTCCTGTGAGAAGCTTAAATAACCTCAAGTTGCACGCGCATCGGTTGCCTGGTTACCAACAGTACATAAACTAAAGTAGCGCCAGCGTTGTGCACACGCGCATGACTGGAACGCTACGATTCAGTTATCAGCTAAGCTAAGCTAAAATCTGACTCAAGTTCTTTTAAAGCATGTTAATAAATACATGTATAATAAATAAATACCTTCAAACCTTTTGTAATACATAAGCTATTATACTTTGTATTACACAGAGGTACATACTGTATACACACACACACACACACACACACAAACACCGGCATTTCTATCATTATGGGGACATCCCATAGGTGTAATGGTTTTTCTACTGTACAATCTGTATAGTCTATCCTTTTACACCAATGATTTATAAGCTTGTTTCTTCATGGGGACGAAAAAAAATAAATTTGGTCTTCATAATGTAGGCAGGGAATACAGTACACACTCAAGCGCACACATTTTATATCATGTAAAAATTATATTACATCTAAGTATTGAATACATGTATATAATGTATTCTTCAAAAATAATCTATTATTTTTGTTAGTATCCGTGTTATCAGATGTTTTCCCTGAATTGTTGACAGCACATTCATCAAGTGAAACATATGAATAAAGTTCTAACGTTAAATGAAATTAAACTCACTTGTGAAATATACAGATGATCTTGTTTCTGTTATATTCATTTATTTTCACTTCACACATTACCATTGGCAAAATTCACTTTGAATCCAGTAGTCCAGGGCTGTGAGAGGCTCCTCAGGATGAAGGACTTATATAAGCAGTTAATTGAAATGTACAAGCATGTACATGAACACCTCAAATGTTATTAAAAGCTACACACAAAATACATACTAAAAATACACAAAACAAAGGCATGAAATAGTGTTGCTCTGACATATTTTGTGCAAAGAACATCAGATTCTGTTGCAGTAATGTCTAAATGAATTATAGTTGAATTATAGTTGCACGGTATAATGCTAACAGAAGTGCTTGAGTCAGTCGCTTCATTTAAACAGCATTGCGGACCCGAAAATGGCTTAAACACACAAATCCATACACTTCTGTCCTTGCCTGTATGAGTTTAGTAAGGCTCCTCTCACTAGATGCATTACAGGCATAATAAAATAAGGCAGACATGACATTTCTAATGTCTAACCATTGCTCTAAAACATCTTCAACATTCACACACAATTTTAATGTGCTAAGAATATGAAAGATCACCACTGTGTTTCTCTCTGTGGCAACCTGGTGGCAATTATTGATTCGAGTGGTTGAGTCATTTTGATGGATTGCTCGGATGGCTTCCTGCTTAACACATGTGCTCTGTATTGATGGCTTTCTCTCTTGCTCTAGTCTTCATAATTAATGAATTAAAAATAGCCTAGAACAGAGCATGCGTGATCTGTGGGGTTTTCTGTCTGTTTGAACAAGGAATAAGAGGTTCAGATTCAAATGAAAGCAGACATAGTCAAAGGGCAGATAGTGAAAGCGAAAGTGTCATTCGACATTTGAAGTGATATTCGAATATATATCAACATCAAGGCTTAGAAACTCATTTCTTTGCCTGTTTAAACAACCAGGCAATCCACTGTTAATAGTGATGTCATAATGACATCATTATGACATCACAATCAATGACTATGTACCTATGTCATGACAATTAGACCTGCAACGAGCAGGGAGAAATTTAAGAAATGCTGAATGAGGTTAGCGATTCCTATTTCCTCTCGAGCAAAAAGAACAAATCAACAAGTGGCAGACAAGCCGTTTCTTTTTTTCCCCTGATAAAAAAAGCCTGCCGTTCTAATCTGGCATCTGTTATTCCAAGCACAAGCTCCGGGCTGGGCAGGGAGAGACGGCGCACAAGAAGATTCTATAATTGAGAGCAGAGGTTTGATAAAGTAAGAAAATGAGATGAAAATGTCCCTAAGCTACAATGAGTGAATCCGTCCTCTCGCTCTGAAACGTGTGGCCCGGTTTAACCAGAAAAGATACAAGGGATTCATTTATTAGAACATGTCTGTGTGTGCATTTGTGTGCACAAAGCCCTGGTCAGAAATGCATCTAACAAATACTGGAAAGCAAGAAAATGAAATGAAACCACTATAATGTTTGCTTGAAAGTGTGACTTGACTCAAAGCCTGTGACAGTAATGAACGGCAGTAAAGTGGACCCTTTCAGAGTGTTGGTAGATATAGTTTAAACATGTGCGTCTAGACTGTAGTGATCTTCTTATCCTTGGTAGCCTGTTTAATGGCAGCCTGTTCGCATATGATCTCTTTGAGGCGCTGCAGCCGCATGTTCTGCACGGTCAGGTCTCCCACGCCAGTCTGGCTGCGGTGGAGGAGACTCAGAGCATTGATGTACTCCAGCTCTGTGTAACGCACCCCTTGATCAACCACCAGGTTTAGCAGCTCGTCGGCTGTATTATACAGCATCTCATAGTACTGCCTGCAGAGAAAGACACAGAGAGAGAGCTGGTGTTAATTCAGATGATGGCACATGATAGCATCTCTCTGAAACAAGGTGGTGAAAGTGTTGCAGAACTTGATTCATGTGATTCACCACACATTTTTGCAATTGCAAAAGTTTATTTAATTAAATATCAATTATAGATATAATTTCTGATACTTACAAAAATATTATGTAGCTTAAAAATAATGAATAATAAAAAAGCAAAACATAAATAAAAGATTCTGTATCCTATTCATATCATATTTTGTTTTTAAGCAGCATATTATATTTATAAAAATAAAAATATATTATAAAATATAAGTTGCTTTTATATATCTATTACATTCATTACATATTTATATATAAATACATTTATAAAAAGAAATATATTCAAACTTTATTTTTAGCAATGTATTATGTTTTTAAGTATCTAAAATATACTTATAATTGACATTAATCACAAAAAAAAACAAAAATGTAATTTAAAATCTTTGTCATTTGGAAAAAACAAAATTTTAAAGGTACAACTCTGTGAGAGCAATATAAATTCATTAAAACTTTTATCTGAAAATTATGGAATATGGTGTAAAAAACTTTATTTAATATTAATCAACACAATTTATCAACAACTGAAATAATGATTCTGAACTATCACAAGTTATTCTCTCAAGTCTGACAACTGTTAACAGTTGATGTTTGCAAAACAAAATAATGTAAAAAAAAGTGGTTAAAAATTGAAGAAAATTTTTTTTTTTAAACATTTGATACATCAAAATATTTTAAGCATGTTAATTCTCAAACACAAATGATCAACAAAATGTTGTAACGAAAGAATGTAAGCATGAAAATAATGCAACAAAATTTCTGTCAACAGAGCTGAAACTCTTTTACACTGGCCTTTACTGTTCCTTATTGTGAAGCCATGCATTCACAAAACTTGTTGAGAACATCAGACCATTTTTCCATGAACCCTTTGGCCCAAACATGCTGTTGACCAATGGAATGGAACAACATGCATTAAACATTAGACATACAGTTCAAGGAGACCACTTACTCACATGAGTATGCATACAGACACCCACACAAAGGACTTACAACTTCTATTTCTGCAGAAGAGGCACATTTGTAACAGGGGTGATAAGAGCTGAATGTGTTTTGACCCCATCAAAGCAGACGACTCCTCCGAATCTCTCTCTCATGCTGCATTACTCAGACACATAGAAAAGGCCTTAGCCAGCAGGACTCTCTCTAACTCCCCTATCAAGCTGGCACACTCCTCCAGGTGCTCAGAGACTTCTGGCTGCACTCGAAATGAGCCGAAGAGCCCATTTTACACAACCTCTCGCTTTAAAGGTGCTCCGTACAGAGCAAACACTGGCAGAAATGGACAATTTTAGTCTTTTCATCATGGAGCACATGTAAATTTTAAAGCCATGCCAGGCATCATAAGGACCTGAGGTTATGAACTTCTGGAGATATTAAACTTCTGGAGAACCATGGAGATGCTTCATGGCTGTGATTTCTACTATAGTACAAATATATTCTACTGAAACAAGGTTATGGCATATAATTTGTCACTTAGCATTAGTTTTACAGACATTATATACTAAATCATGTGGCTTTTTGTGGACAAATTACTTTAAGTGACTGGACTTATACTTTGACTTATTTTATAATGCATTTATTTGTGAAATTTAATGGCAATTTCGAAGTAAAAATTGTCAAGCCATTTTTTGTCAGTGTGTTAGACAATAAAACGAACAAAAATCCAAAACCAGTGTCATATCTATATTGTAAAAATGATTCAATGCTGTAAATAAAACAAATATTATAAATATTTCAGTCTTTCTACTTTAAAATTTCACATTTCTTTGTAATTAATTGTGAAATTTATTAGCAATTTCTGTATGAAAAATGTTTCTTCACCAATTTTTTTTTTCAGTGTAGAGATTTGGAGGTGGGCTTTTTGACCTAGGCCAGTAGTAAACACCTAGAAGCCACCTAGCAACATCCAGAAAACCTAGCAAGATGCTAAAACCACTCAGCAACACCTTAGCAACTGTATAGCAGTGCCTTTGCAAACAACCACAACATCCTAGCAACTGTAACACAGCTCAAATTTACTTCAGGAAATCTAAAAATCTAGAAGTTGTTAGGCCAACTTTACAGTCTAAAGGCCTTTTCATACTGAATTAAATATCTCAGAGATCTGCTGTCTTCTACTAAACCTTCTTGGTGAAGTAGGTACTTGGAAATAATGGTTTTGCCCTTACGCCTCTAAAATGCTGAGCTCTAATGCTGCAGATTAACACTAACATGAAAAATCAAATGATCACAGAATATTCAGCCAGTAAAAAAACATGTTCAACCCAAAGACGCTGAAAAGGTTGCCAAAAAGTGTGAATGTGAGCACAAGTGCACCTGCAGGACAGAGAGAGGGCAGTTCCATTAACCCACATTCATCTCTGACACTGAAAAACACAGCCATTTATAACAGTCCTGACAGTACAGTGTCCCAGTAACCCTTCCTATGCCAGGGCAGTAATCCACCAGACCTGGGCTGTCTGCTCATTAGAGCTCAAAACAGGACAATCTCATATACAACACTTCATTTGGCATAAAACAGCTTAATTGTCCTAGCACAAAAGATTCAAAACTCACCTGTTTAAACAGATAGTATACTAATTTCTTTGTATTTTAAGGAAAATCCAGACAACTCTTACATAATATGAGAACATATGAACATATGATATAATATAATATAATATAATATACAGTCTTGTATACAATTGCAGTATTTATAAATATTTTGAGTTCGCTTTTATTTTTATATTTCAAGTTTTGATTTGAAGTTTAGTTTACGTTTTTGTAATTTTGTTAAAATAAGATATAAAAACAAACTTTTTATTTCAGCAAGTTGCCAAGGCTTAATTTCTCATTTTAGTTTAACTTGATGTACTAAAATAAGTAAAACTAAAAGTGAAATAAAATGAATAAAAACTATAAAAAAAATAAAAATAATTTAAATCCCAAACATAAATACTAATTAAACAAATTAAAACAGGACATTTAGGTAAACGGCGACGAGTTGCTAATCTGATTAACTCTCTTTTAAGACCACCTCCTTTCCTCTCCTCTCCCAATCCTCTCTCCCATTAGAAGATAATAAAGAGCAGGAACTTTTCACACATTGAAACTGCACCTGTATGTGTGTGTTCTCTGAGTGCCATTAAGTTTTAATTAGACTGTTTCTGTGTGTACAGTAGTGCATAAAAAGGGTATTAAGCTAATTTATGATGCATGCAGCGAAGGACGCTGGGAGATGTATGTTGGCGTGAAGGGAGACAGTGGAAAAAAACTTGAATCAGCACAATTCATTTCCTCCAATTTCCAGTATGTACAATATTAAAGCCATTAAGGGCTGCTTCTGTCAGCGCAATCTCAGAAACACATTAGTTAGCAGCTGAGAGAGAGAGAGAGAGCAGGCAAGATGCCCCTCTCCATCAAACAGAACACACATACTTGTCACCACAGTAACAAATGCCAATGCTTTCCGTGCAAAAAAGCATATAAGGCTTTCAGGACATTTCCTCCTGCATGCTTGACAGGTCCGATTTTCCTGTTAATGGGAACATTTTGCAGACGGTCTGCTCTTTCATCAGCTGCTCTGTTCTAAAGCGAGGTGAGACTTTGAGATGAGGCAGTCTGACCCTGGTCTACATATTAGATAACACCTCAACAGAAGGAGTCTTGGGATAGGAGGAAGAACAGGCTCATAAACGGTTCGTAGACTGTCCCTGGGCTGCTGCTGCAGTAGATGTAGAGCTGGACAATATTCTTCAGCTTTCAATTAAATGAACCATCATTTCAACCCAACAGCAGTTAGTCAAAAAGATT